GTGCTTGCCTCTGAGGACAGTCCAGGAGGAAGCAGAGAAAGAAGGCACACTGCGCCCCCTCTCCCACCCTCACCCCCCCCCAGCAGCTGCTGCCCCTGCCAAGAGCGCCAGGGGGTGCTGGGATGAGTGTGCACGCAGGGGACTCCCTGCTCCCTGGAGGTTTCCAAGGGAGCAGGTTTGCAGCAGCCAACCACGCAGTGTGAGGAGCCGAGTGCCCAGAGCTGTTACTTCCAGCTCCCCGGCCTCTGCCACTGACGCTGTCTTGTGAGGAGGACCAGGGTGGGCCACTGGGCGGTGTGGTGGGGACGGAGTCTGGTTGTTGGTGTGCGTATGCAGAGTGGCTGGGCGCATCTCTGTATCGCCTCTGCTGTAAGAGGCCAAAAGGGCAAGCCTGGAGGAAAACTGGGTCTGTGGTGCCTGACCCACCAAGAGCTTGCCAAAGGCTTTGGCCCTCATGCAGAGCCTGCCCCGGGATCCCCAGTCACCAAGGGAGTAACCCCTAGGGGTCATGGCGAGAAAGCTAGAGCTGACCCGCCAACAGTGAGTGGTCAACCACTGTCTTCCCTGTGGGCGGTGCTTACCTGTCTGTGCTCCTAGGACCAGAGTGCCAAGGGATCAGTGTCGAGTTTCAGCCTCCTGGAGTGCCCATCAGAGCCGTGGGTGAGCGCAGGCCATCACTGTGGATGAACTTTCTCCAGCCTGATCCCTAGGCTGAGAAATTATCCTTGATTTTGTCCGATATTCCTTAACCAAGAGAGGTAATGAAATGGCTGGCTGGTAAATCAACACGAATTAAACACCAATGGAAAACCACAGTTACCTCCCCGTGTGGCCTCCTTTCCCTGGAAGTAAGTTCTATAGCACCCTGTTGCAAATTCACTGAATCTACTCTGGAGGTGAGTTACAAGCACCCTCTTACAAGCTTTATTTAGTGGCTGGTGCCGACCAGTGGACTGTCCCATATCACTGTGCGAGGAAGAAGAGAGCAGCCCCAATTAGCCGTGTTCAGGGGTTTTTAAGCAACTGCCATCCAATAGACTAAGGGAACCCTGATACATAATATGAGCCATTCAATCAACCAAGCTTATACCAGTGCACAATACAAATGATCCAATCAACTGTAGCGGCATGAAACACAGACATTCAGTTTAAGCAACAAACACTTTAAAGTACGGAATCAGTAGGCGCTGCATCTTGCCTAGTAGCTATTAGGTTCTGTCCCACCTAACAAGCGAACTACTGAACCAGGTAAACAAGTCCTTTCAGTTCCATGTACAAGAGACCAGTTTGGGGCAATCAGCTTCCTGCCTGAGCTGTAAAAGAAAAGCAAGATCTATCCCGGAATGAGATACCATCCTATAAAAAGTACTCTCACTCCCCTTTGGGGGCTGTCTGAGCACCCAAGGCCTTTTCAAGAACCCAAGGTTATGGACACGTCCAGGAAATGTATCAGGAGATCTAGCCTTACTGTCGCCATTGTTTATTGTCTGAGTTGTCACACGCCCCACTCTCTCTCCCTGTTCTCTCTCTCTCCCTCTTTTCTTTCAACCAAATCAAGTAAAATAAATTTTTTTTTAATTGACCTCTTTCGCTAGGTCACACTGTCTAGCAACTCCATCTGGATCTCCCACGTGGGTGGCAGGACCCCAAGGTGATGTAAGCCTGCTGTCTCCCGGGGTGTGCACACAAGCAGGAAGCTAGAACTGAAAGCACAGCCAGGACCCAAACCCAGGTGCTCCTAGAGAGATACAAGCTTCCTGAATAGTATACACATTTTTAAAAAGATTTGTTTTACTGAGAAGGCAGATTTAAAGAGAGGAGAGACAATAAGATTTTTTTTTTTTTTTATCTGCTGATTCACTCCCCAAATGGTTGCAATGGCCTGAGCTGAACAGATCCTCAGCCAGAAGCCAGGAACTTTTTCAGTTTCCCACGCAAGTGCAGGGTCCCACGCTTTAAGGCCATCTGCCACTGCTTTCCTAGGCCACAGGAAGGGAGTTGAATAGGAAGTGGAGCAGCAGGGACATGAACTGGGGCCCATGTGGGATGCTGGTGCTCGCAAAGTGAGCATTTTGCCACTGAACCATGGTGCTGGGTCCCCAAGTGACGCTTTAAGACTGCTGCTCCAAATGCCCTCTAGTAGTCATGAGTTAATGTGGGTCTGGGTTTTCCCACTGAGCTTCTCTGAGTTGGGCTAGACAAAGAGTGTTGAAGCAGAGATGAATTTAGCCAGGGATGTCGTTTTCCTGAATGGGTGAGATGCAGGTGAACAAGCCGGAGAAGGCTCTTGTCCCATAGCAGTTCCTAATCCCATGAGCAGAGATGGCTGAGTGGACAGTCTTGTCTTGGTGTAAGAGCTCAGATGTGAGACAGAGTGGTGCTAAGTGAGGTGACAAAGCTTACGAAGAAGGACACCTGCCAGGTGTCCAGGCAGCCTCTCTGGAAAGGGCTGAGAGTCTAACCCTTACCTGCATCCAGGCGTTATGGTCCTGAGTATGTGTCCCCTGTTTCTTCTCCCCTCTTGCTTCCTCTGGGAAGCTACGGGTGGGGTTTTTTGGATGTGGAGTTTCCAAAAATCCTCCCAGTACCTTCTCAGACCCGTGTTATAGGATCCAACAGTCTCCTGGGCGCCAGCAGCGGGAGTCCCCCCCAGCTGTCCCAAGAGGAGGGCTGGACCACACCCAGCAGGGTCAGGGGAGCTGTGACTTCAGGGGGTAATGACTGGTCTGAACTTAGGAGTTGCTTCCTTATTCCATTGCACACAAATTCTTTTTTTTTTTTTTAAAGCCATTTCCATTCTCTTCCCATCTTTCTTGCAAACTCCCATTTTCTCCAGGCCCCTCTGACACACAGAAGCCAATGTCCACTCGGCCACCTTGACAGTTCCATCAGAACAAAATGTGCTTCCTTGAGCTTATACCTGCAGAGAAAGCCATGTCTCCACATACAGAGGAAACACCGATCACTTCCTTCTCCTGCCCACTGCTCCAGGGCAGCTCTGTCTAGCCACATGGACCCAGCCGGTACCAGCCAGGGGCCAGGTTCCTTTTTACTGGCTGCAGCCTCTAGGATCTCCCGCTGCACCTGCTGTGTCCTGAAATCAGCTTATCAGTGCGCTGAAAGCAGTCCTCCTGTAGCCTTGGAATTGAGCACCACAGAACAAGTTCAGCTTAGTACCAGCCTGCTGCAGGCACAATCCCAGCAGCAGGTGCAGATTCTCAGGACAAGACAAATGAGCTCACCTACTCATCTATTCTCTGCCCTTCTGAACCAAGAATCATCTTCCAATCTCCAGACTGGCCAGAATCTTCATCACACTCCTCCCCCGTCCCCCCACTCAGCCCGACTCCCTCCCCAGGTCCCTCCTAAAAGACTCTGAACTCAGAGTCCCAGGCTCTCCTGTGCAGCGGGAATTAACCTCTGGCTGTCGCTGGATGCCACAACCTCTAAGCAAGGAGGCACCCTGAGGCTGTCAGTCTTAGCACCCCTGGGCCAGCTCCTGGTTTGGTTTCTCCTGCCTTGACCCAGAGTGTACCTTGGGTGGGACTGGCCAGGGCACTGTGCCATCTCGGCTCCCTGCCCGACCCTCCGGGACTGATTGTGGGAGGTGTGATGTACACTGTCCCTGCACAGAGGAGGAAGTGCCCGGGCCCAAGGACTCCCAGCATCCCCTGGAGCAGCCTGAGTCTGCCCTACTTTTGGTAAGTTGGCAGTACTGGGTTCCTGCCCTGTTTGTCTCCAAGCCAGGGGTCTGGCAAGAGGCAGAGGAGGCTGTGCAATGGGGGCCCCCTTAGTCTCAGGACTGACTTTCTTGGGCAACTTGAATCCCTGATTCAGTTCCTGTTCCAGTAACCAAGGGGTGGCTTGTGGACTGGGCTTTGTGGTCAGTGCAGGGTGATAAGCCTCCAAGGGTGCAGGTATGAAGGCTGGACGCCTTGCATCTGGCTCTATGCTTCTGCCCAGGGAGTCTCGCTGGAATGTGAAGGGTAACCTAAATCCAGTTATCTGATGCTCTATGTGGTGCTAGTCCTATTCACTCCTGAAATTCTAGTATGTGCAGGGGACAGATTCCAGAAAACAACAACAATACCACCACCACCCTGGTCTTAATAATGAGGCAGGGATTGGGGTGGGAGGGCAGGGAGGTGGCCATGTCAACAGAACCATGCAGTGGGGATGAATAGGGGTTCCCTTGGCACATGGCCACTTGACATGAGCTGCTTCTGTATGTAAGAATGGTCCCCACCGAGGATGACTCTGAGGAGCACGTCCACGACATAGCCCAAGGGTTGCTGGTGGTCTAGGAGGACGCCATGAGCACTGGGATGACCCTTCTCTCATGGTCTGGACGAACTGCCTCCCCTGATCTGCTGACTTGATGCTCAGGATAGAGGTAAGGAGAAAGTGAGTGTTTTTGCCTTAAGTGACAGAGGCTCTCGCATGTTGGGGGAGACGCCCCAGGACTAGGGACTGTCCCCACAGGGCTGGCCTCCTGTTACTCTCCCTCCCCACTGTCTGCCAGACCTGTCCCTGTGCCCTTCGCCCAGTGCACAGGCAGGGGTCGTGTTTGGATTGCTCCTTGTCTCTGGCCACACGCAGGTGACCTCGGGAGTCGCTCTCTTCCTTTGATTTACTCTAAATCATGTTTCCTTACCTTTTTTAAAAAAAATTATTTTTATTGCAAAGTCAGATATACAGAGAGGAGGAGAGACAGAGGAAGATCTCCTGTCCAATGATTCACTCTTTAAGATTTATGTTTTATTGGAAAGGCAGATCTACAGAGAGGAGGAGAGAGACAGACAGAAAGATCTTCCATCTGCTGGTTCACTCCTCTAGTGGCCTGGGGGTTAGTCTGTGGTCCAAGGCAGCTGGAGGTCCCTTTTCTGGCAACTCCAGCATTCATTCTGAGTGCCTGGCAGTGTGGGGAGGAGGGAGGGGAAGTCCTGGTTGCCACTTCCCCTCCCCCCATAGAGGCCATCTGCTGCCCACTGTCCGTCCCCATGGCTCTTGACCATACGTTACCCGCCAGGGTAAGATTCTTCCTTCCTGGGCTCAGCCACTCCTCTGTGAGCTGTGGAGCTCTGAGGGAGTGCACTGTGCTCCTGGGCAGAGCCGTGGGTACCTGAACCACGGATGATGTCATTGGCTATGGGAGACAGGCTGCTCGTTTCCCCTGCTGGCCTTGACCATAGGAGCTGGGAGGCTGTTGCTGCTGGAATGGAATGGAATAACTTTGCAGAGAGAGATGGGGAGAGTGTGTGTGTGTGGCCTGAGCCCCTGGAGCAAGTCATATCTGAACCCCAGCTCCTTGGAGTTTCATAGGAGTCCATACATTCTCATTTGGCTTAGGCTGCGTTGGGCTAACATTGACAACAGAGGGAGACTTTATTAATGCAGCATGGAAGGGGGAGGTATGTCTTCAGAGAGGAAGAGACTGGGCTGTCCAGAGCACAGCCAACGTTCTCTTCACCCTTTCCACAGGCCCCTACAACCAGACCTGTAGGCTAGGACCTCAACATGACCCCACATGCAGGGGAGCATGCCTCAGGAGACTGGCTTTGCAGAGGGTTTGCTATCCATCCCGAGTGCCCCTCCTAACTTACCAGGGCCTGCTTGGGAAGAAAAACCTGATATTACAAGGTGGTAAATGGGCTATGGGGGTCTTAGGAGCCAGCCTAGCCCATTCTGCCCAATCCTGCCCATGCTGTTGCAGGTAGACCAGCTGTCTGTCTTCCCAGGGCTCCTACTGGGTGCTGGTCTAGTCAGTTCTTACCACGGGGAGTGGGGGTGGGAAGGGGAGGATGGGCTAGGGGGAGGGTATAAGTCTCCTCCTCCCCCTTGGGGTAGGGACACCCTGTGGTGTGGAGTGTAGTTGCTGGCTCTGTAGGATTAGGCTTCAGTTACCTGCAGTGGTCCTAGACCTGGGGTACTCTTTTTGTTTGTTTTTCATGAGACAGAGATAGATCTCCCATCCACTGGTTCACTCCCCCAATACCTGCAGTAACTGAGGCCGGGCCAGGCAGAAGCTAGGAGCTGGGTGCTTAGTCTGGTCTCCCATGTGGGTGGCAGGGACCCAACTGCATGACACACGAGCCATCCCCTGCCACTTCCCAGGGTGTGCACAAGCAGGGAGCTGGACCCAGGAGTGGGCCTGAGACTTGTACCCACCAGGCCAAAGGCCCATTCTGGTCTCCCCCTACTGGTATTTGCTGGGATTGCCTGAAGCTAAGGTTTCCTATCTTGGCTTTAGGACTGATCATAAGGCAGTGGTCCAGGTCACCATCAGGCCAGGTGGAGCCTCCGGAGCCATTTCGCAGAGCCAGAGGGGCCTCTGGTCCTGGGAAGGCGCCAGCACTTCTGCGCCTGCTTTGGGCTTCTTCTGGTTAGAGTGGGAACAGCTGAGACAGTTTGTCCTGGGAGAAACAACCTGTGCCAAGAGGCTCCTCCCTTGCGCCTGTGGCCCCCAAACAGGGAGAACAGGTTCCCCCTCCGGCTGCTTCCCCTCCGGTTAGCTGATGACCAAGGCCCTGGCGCTGCCCTCTTGACACGTTGCCAAGCCCTGCTCTTGCACACCAAAGGAACAGGATTTTTTTTTTTTTTTTTTTACTTTATTTGGTGACAGGTGAGATCCTTAGATGGAAACTGGATCTGTGAAGAAAACAAGGGCAGGATCAGAACCGGGAGCAAGGATTCACAGCTCAGTGTCTGCAGGAAAGTTCAAAGTTCCTCCGTCTCTACCCCGCAGCCCTTGGAGGGGGAGGAGAACCTGTAAAACCCTTTGCAAAGTGCCTGGTCCTTGCTGCCACGGTCAGAATGAGGGTCAGCAGCCTCCTCCTGCCTCTCCCTTCCCTGCGATTCACACTCAGTTCCCCCAACCTCTCCAGAGGTGAGCTGTGACACTGAGTTCCGTCTTTCGCTTTCAGTGCATCTAATGACGGAGATGTGGGGGTGGGGGAGTGGATGGGCCGAATTCAGGAAAGAAAAGTCTAGAAGCATCTTTGCTCAAGGAAGCGGCAGCTTTCTACTGTCACCACATGGCTCTTTGCCCTCAGGACAGAGGAGGACCTCAAGCTGCCTCTTTCCCTTCCCCAAGGAGGAGCAGCTGAGCCCAGGCGGCCTCGGTGGACCCTACAAGGCACGGCTCTCCTTCCAAAACCCGACTCTCCCGACGTCTAGGGTTGCCTTTCATTGGCTCAAAGAGCTTCCCCGTCTCGGAGTCGGCACGTCCTGCCCTTTCAAATCTGTTCTGCAAACAGCCACCCTATCACCGTCTAAAGAGCCTGCACTGTAGGCGTGGGCACTGCTGGCTGCTTCCTCTGACCCAAGTCAGCATCTCCCACCTGCTGGCTGCGCTTGGAACACACAGCACACAGCTTGAAGGCTGCAGCTTTACTTATAGAGACTGCTAGTCGAGGAGTTTTGGTTTCCTCTTAAAGGCCCCAAAGCAGGTTGGGCACAGCGTTTGGAGTTAGAAGCAGAGCTGGGACCTACACCTATGCGCTCAGGTGCCAAGTGCCTACTGTCAATCCTGGGACGCAGTAGGTGATGGCCAACTGTTTGGGCTCCTCCCACCCACCTGAGAGATGGGAGTGAGCGCAGGACCGCTGGCCCCTGCCTCCCCAGCGCTGCCTGTCGTAGGCCACAGGGACTGATTGTCTCGCTGCCTTTCAGACACATAAAAATGAAAATAGGTGCATTTAGCCAAAAAATAAGAGTTTAAAGGAAAATAGGTGTGATAGGTGTCAAAGGTCAGTAAGGTTTGGAGAACACCGAATTAAGACACGAGGAAGAGGAGGCAGCGGAGGAGGCAGCAGAGGAGGAAGAGGAAGTGGAAGAGGAAGCCGAGGAGGAAGCAGAGGAGGAAGAGGAAGCGGAGGGGGAAGCAGAAGAGGAAGAGGAAGCGGAAGAGGAGTGGGAAGCCGAGGAGGAAGCAGAGTGGGAAGCGGAAGAGGAAGCCAAGGAGGAAGTGGAAGGGAAAGCGGAAGAGGAAGCAGAGGAGGAAGAGGAGGAGGAAGCGGAAGAGGAGCAGGAAGCCGAGGGGGAAGCAGAGGAGAAAGCAGAGGAGGAAGCGGAAGAGGAAGAGGAAGCGGAAGAGGAAGCTGAGGAGGAAGCAGAAGGGGAAGCAGAGGGGAAAGAGGAGGGGGAAGAGGAGGAGGAAGCAGAGGGGGAAGCGGAAGAGGAAGCGGAGGAGGAAGCGGAAGAGGAAGAGGAGCGGGACGCCGAGGAGGAAGCGGAGGGGGAAGCGGAGGAGGAAGCAGAGGAGGAAGAGGAAGCGGAAGAGGAAGCGGAGGGAGAAGCGGAAGAGGAGGCAGAGGAGGAAGCAGAAGGGGAAGCGGAGGGGGGAGAGGAGGAGGAAGCTGAGGAGAAAGCGGAGGAGGAAGCAGAGGAGAAAGCAGAGGAGGAAGCCAAGGGGAAAGAGGAAGCGGAGGGGAAAGAGGAAGCGGAGGAGGAAGAGGAGGAGGAAGCGGAAGAGGAGCGGGAAGCCGAGGGGGAAGCGGAGGAGGAAGCGGAAGAGGAAGTGGAGGAGGAAGCAGAGGAGGAAGCGGAGGAGGAAGCCGAGGGGGAAGCGGAAGAGGAAGCGGAGGAGGAAGCAGAGGAGGAAGCGGAGGGGGAAGCGGAAGAGGAAGCCGAGGAGGAAGCAGAGGAGGAAGCCTAGGAGGAAGAGGAAATGGAAGAGGAAGCCGAGGAGGAAGCAGAGGAGGAAGAGGAAGCGGAGGAGGAAGCAGAGGAGGAAGAGGAAGCGGAGGAGGAAGCTGAGGAGGAAGCCGAGGAGGAAGAGGAAGTGGAAGAGGAAGCCGAGGAGGAAGCCGAGGGGGAAGCCGAGGAGGAAGAGGAAGCGGAGGAGGAAGCCGAGGAGGAAGCAGAGGAGGAAGAGGAAGCAGAGGAGGAAGCGGAAGAGGAAGAGGAGCGGGAAGCCGAGGAGGAAGCAGAGGAGGAAGCGGAAGAGGAAGAGGAAGTGGAAGAGGAAGCAGAGGAGGAAGCAGAGGAGGAAGAGGAAGCGGAGGAGGAAGCCGAGGAGGAAGCGGAGGGGGAAGCGGAAGAGGAAGCGGAGGAGGAAGAGGAGGAGGAAGCAGAAGAGGAGCAGGAAGCCGAGGGGGAAGCAGAGGAGGAAGAGAAAGCGGAGGAGGAAGCCGATGAGGAAGCAGAGGAGGAAGAGGAAGCAGAGTAGGAAGCGGAAGAGGAAGAGGAGCGGGAAGCCAAGGAGGAAGCGGAGGGGGAAGCGGAGGAGGAAGCCGAGGAGGAAGAGGAAGCAGAAGAGGAAGCCGAGGAGGAAGCAGAGGAGGAAGTGGAGGGGGAAGCGGAAGAGTAAGCAGAGGAGGAAGCAGAAGGGGAAGCGGAGGGGGAAGCCGAGGAGGAAGCCGTGGAGGAAGCGGAGGAGGAAGCAGAGGAGGAAGCCGAGGAGGAAGTGGAGGGGGAAGTGGAAGAGGAGCAGAGGAGGAAGCCGAGGGGGAAGCAGAGGAGGAAGCCGAGGAGGAAGAGGAAGTGGAAGAGGAAGCTGAGGAGGAAGAGGAAGCAGAAGGGGAAGTGGAGGGGAAAGAGGAGGGGGAAGAGGAGGAGGAAGCAGATGAGGAAGCAGAGGAGGAAGCAGAAGGGGAAGCGGAGGGGAAAGAGGAGGGGGAAGCAGAGGAGGAAGCAGAGGGGGAAGTGGAAGAGGAAGCGGAGGAGGAAGCGGAAGCGGAAGAGGAGCAGGAAGCCGAGGGGGAAGCAGAGGAGGAAGCGGAGGAGGAAGCCGAGGAGGAAGAGGAAGCCGAAGTGGAAGCAAAGGAGGAAGTGGAGGGCGAAGCGGAAGAGGAGGCAGAGGAGGAAGCCGAGGAGGAAGCAGAGGAGAAAGCAGAGGAGGAAGCCGAGGAGGAAGCAGAGGAGAAAGCAGAGGAGGAAGCCAAGGGGAAAGAGGAAGCGGAGGAGGAAGAGGAGGAGGAAGCGGAAGAGGAGCGGGAAGCTGAGGGGGATGCGGAGGAGGAAGCGAAAGAGGAAGTGGAGGAGGAAGCAGAGGAGGAAGCAGAGGAGGAAGCCGAGGAGGAAGAGGAAGTGGAAGAGGAAGCCGAGGAGGAAGCCGAGGAGGAAGCGGAAGCAGAGGAGGAAGCAGAGGAGGAAGAGGAAGCAGAGGAGGAAGCAGAGGAGGAAGAGGAGGCAGAGGAGGAAGCCGTGGAGGAAGCGGAAGAGGAAGCGGAGGAGGAAGCAGAGGAGGAACCCGAGGAGGAACCCGAGGAGGAAGAGTAAGAGGAGGGGGAAGCGGAAGAGAAGCAGAGGAGGAAGCCGAGGAGGAAGAGGAAGCCGAGGAGGAAGCAGAGGAGGAAGAGGAAGCAGAGGAGGAAGCAGAGGAGGAAGCAGAGGAGGAAGCAGAGGAGGAAGCAGAGGAGGAAGCGGAAGGGGAATAGGAGGAGGAAGCCGAGGAAGAAGCGGAGGAGGAAGCGGAAGAGGAGCAGGAAGCCGAGGGGAAAGAGGAGAAGGAACCCGAGGAGGAGGCGGAGGAGGAAGCGGAGGAGGAAGCGGAAGAGGAGTGGGAAGCCGAGGAGGCAGCCGAGGAGGCAGCTCTTGCTTTTTGTGTGTGCCCCATGACAGTATGTGCTAAGTGACTTACATGCATCCTCTCCCCTCCCCTCCTTAGAGCAGCACAGGGAGAGCTTTGCCGCTGTCTGTGTCAGGAGTGAGGGACAGACCGGATGCTCTGGGGCATCTGGCCCCAGGCCCACCCACCTCCAGCTCTGTGTGTGCTATGGGACCCTGTTTTAGCTTCCCTGGGCTCTCCTGCTGCCTTCCACCGCACACCTAGCCCCGGGCCCTGCCCTGGGCTCTCCTGCACATCTCCTGGGATCCTCATCATCCCAGCCCTTGGAGGGAACTCGACACAACCCTGACTACCAGACCCTGACTGCCCATGGCACCTGGCTATTCTGCTAGTGGAGTCCACTGAAACCTACCAGCTCCAGTCTTTCCCCTGTGAATCACACGATCAGTGGCTGGCTGGCCAACTCTGGCTTCTAAGCACCTTATTATCTCATTACCCCCAACAGCCATCCCACGAGGAGGGCACCCATTATTTTCCTCATTTACAGAAATGCTGGGGTACAGCCTGATGTTCCAGGTGCTTCTAGTCCCCTCCCCCAGAGGTTCCCTGAACAGGAGGCAGATCCCCGGAGGAAGACGACAAGTCCAGTTTCTCTGGGTTTGGCTTTTGAGAGATTCAGTGCACCTGCTTCCAGGTCCTGTGGCTGGGAGAGGCAGACTGAAACACAGGCTGAAACTCACTGTGCACGCTAAACCTGTATTCACTGCGCGTGGCCGTGGCAGTGAGTACGGCTGTGGACGTTCTTGGTGCGTCACCCGTATTCCCTAGCTGGGCTGTTACACGCGACCCTGTGCATTCTGAATCTGGGCTGCTCAGAAGGCCTCCCACCCCCATTCGCCCTCTGCCAATTGCCGGCAGCTGTCACTCCACGTCTGTGCTGCACGTGCTTGGCCAAAAGAGGGCGCCATGGAGCGAGCCTTGTGCCTCTGGGGACTCCTGCTCCAGGGCCCACCTCCACCTTCCCCAGCTTGCCCTGGCCTCCCTCCCAGCCTTTGCCCCAGGATCAAGTTCTGGATAGATGCTGCATCTCCCAAGCCCCTGTCTCAGGCTCTGCTTCTAGGCAGCCCAGGGGAGAGGGCTGTGATGGGGCTGGTGGGAGGGGGCTTGGGGTGGTTAAGCGGCGGGGAAGGGTGCATGCTTTCCAGGCAAGGAAGAAGTTCCAACGAGGAGCTCTGAGCGAGGGGCAGGAAGTCTGCGCACCCCGTGGGAGAACCAGCCCAGGAGAGGATGGGGGGCAGCTGCCTGAGCAAGCCCGTGACACGCCCCTCCGCCCGGGGCTGGGAGATGGGGCAGGGGCTGCACCTACCTGCTGGACCGTGGGCCTGGAGGCGTGTTCACAAGGACTCAGCGATGTAGTAGGCAGCTCCTAGGGCCCCCAGAGCCACAGCCACAGTCCCGAGGGCATGGAGCACGTGTGTTACGATGTCCTGAGGAGTGTTTTCTTGAAGGTCGTCTGGGAGGCACAACACAGGTGGGGCTGTGGGAACCGCTGCACACTGACCACCCCCTCCACACTGGCCATCTCCTCTCGAAGGAACATGGCATGCCCACCCAGACCCCAGGGTCTGGGCATGAGCGGACTTGGATGGATCGAGCTGTCCTGGACTCTTGGCAGTGGGGCATGTATTAGGGTGAGGGATGGGGAGGGGGCAGGTGACAAAGGCGGCCAAGGCTGCCGCAAGCCAGGCTGTGTGCTAAGCACCTCACCCCATTTCTCTTCTGCAAGCCTCATGACACACTCTGAGTTGGGCTTCTGCCAAGAACCCCGGGTCACCACATCCCCACTACAAAGCAGTGCTACAATGGTGCAGTAACTGCGCGGAGGCTTTGCACATACATCCTTATCTACTTAGAGATCAACTCTTCCACAGTAGGAGCTTGTTAAACGTACAGGTGCATGTAAAGCCACAAGCCAACATGACACACGGGGGGAAGCCGAGATCCTGCAGATAGGTGCTGAGATCGGAACAGAGTGACGGTGGCGGGTCTTGCCCCAGAGGGCGGGTCGTTGCCTCGCTTGCAGTTTCCTCCATCTGGAGTGCCCTCCCTTCTTGTTCCAAGCCCCGGAGGCTCCTAGAAGGCCAATGCTGCCATGCCTCTGGGAGCACAGGGCAGATGCTGGAAACTCCCCCGCCCTTCTCAGGGGCCTGCACCTGTGTGGTATCTTGGGGTTTCCAACACACATTGTGGCATGCCCTGTAAGTCCCTGCTCTGCGTCTCCCTCTGTTATGCCCATGTTACAACCTGGGACAGGTGGGTGGCGATGCCAGCAGATGGGGTGGGGGAAGAAGAGGAGATGGGAGGTGCTGGGAGGGGTGAGGGAGCCCTTCCTCCCTGATTGGGATTTCCCAGGAGGCTCCGAGTCTCCCCACATCCTGGGGTCTCTGCATCTTGTCATTCTTAGGAGATGGGGAGGGTTTCAATTGCAGATGGAAGGGATTGGGTAGGGGAGGGGCGGGGAGGAGCAGGGCAAGGCTTGGGGGAGGGTCTGAGGTCCCCAGTTGGGCCCAAAGCTTGCCGTGCACCTGGCTAGCATTCCTGTTAAGAATGGGGTCTCTGGGCCCAGCACCATGGCCTAGTGGCTAAAGTGCTCGCCTTGACCACGCCAGGATCCCATATGGGCGCCAGTTCTAATCCTGGTAGCCCCGCTTCCCATCCAGCTCCCTGCTTGTGGCCTGGGAAAGCAGTCAAGGACTGCCCAAAGCCTTGGGACCCTACACCCACATGGGAGACCTGGAAGAGGTTCCTGGCTCCTGGCTTCAGATTGGCGCAGCACTGTCCGTTGCGGTTACTTGGGGAGTGAATCATCGTATGGAAGATCTTCCTCTCTGTCTCTCCTCCTCTCTGTATATCTGACTTTGTAATGAAAATAAATCTTAAAAAGAAAAAAAAAATGGGGTTTGTGCCTTAGATGCAGACAGGGGCCCCAGTGGGGCAGCTGCCACTGTGATGCCTCTCGTGAGGGACTTTGCGGAGAGGAAATGAAGGGCATATTAGTATGGGTGATTATATTGGGGGTGATCCCCAAAATAGCCTGGCGCACACACCCTGGCAGGGGTAGGTGTGCTGTGCTGAGTAGTCAGAATTCCTTCTTAGCTACAAATGCCTGGCGGGTGCAGGGGGACCGGGGGCAGGGAGGAAATCCACAGGAAGTCAAGAGCTGCCCTACGATGGCCATGGGAGGAGGATGTGGGCAAGGTTCCTGAGTCAGCCTGGGCACTGAGGGAAGCACCAACGCGCAACAGGAAAAGGAAAGCCCTGTAGCAGTAGTTCCCGGCCAGCAGAAATGGCTCCCCTGGGAGCAGGTAGGAAAGGGCCCCCACCGGCCGACTCCCAGGAAGTGTCAAGGCTTCCCAGAGGAAGTTACCAGTGACCACTGGGTACTGAGCACCCCTGGGGCTCCAGCCCCCCACGAGCTCTGGAACCTGTAGAAGGTGAGAAGGCTTGGGCATCCTCTCCCTGGCACGAGCTGCCAGTCTCGAGGCAGAAGGACATCGAAGATGCGGCTGTGGCACAGCCCTAGACGACGCCAGCAAGCAGAGCTGCCTGGGCAGACAGCACAGGGGCAGGAACGTGGGCTCGAATGAGTCAGTTGCCCTGGGTGGACAGAGAAGGAGAGAGTTGTGGGGTGCACCTGTTCCCAGGAGGCCCCGGGGGAAGACAAGCCTGGAAGCTGGTCTGAGAAAGCTCCATTTGCAGCTGCAGTGGTGCAGGGTGACCTGGGAAGATTCTAGACTTTTAAAAGGCATCGCCAAGGACTACCCACTGTGGGGGAGGGGCAATTCTTCTAGGAACTGTTCCCTTCCAGATGGGACAGAAGACTAAGTGTGAAGACAAATGGTTGCTTTCTCCACTGGGTATGCTCCTGGGAACAGCGGCTGTCACGTGGGCTGTGTACCAGTCCCCGTGTTTGTCCAACTGTTCGCACCGGCCAGCCCGGCCTCTGAGCCAGGCTCCAAGAATGCATGGGGGTGTTCCCTTGCGATGAGGAGATCGCAGATGGGACAACTTCAACTCGATTTCCAACTCTGTGGGTGGAGGAGAACTCTCACAGCGCAAGGAGGCAGGCAGTAACTCGAGCAGAAGACCGGTGATCTGGAGGGAGGCTCTGGGAAGCAGGACGGCCTTGTTGTGTTCAGCCATGGCTTGAAAGTGCCTCCCCGCCCCGAATCCTGAGACGGGGGCAGCCGAGCACAGGGAAGGTGTCCGCTCTAGCTGGGCAGCCGGGTTTCTGGCTGCATCACTCCCAGGTTGGGACGATTCACCTTTGGAGTTTTTGATGAGGACAGACTGCCTCAGGGAAGACCACAGAACATTCCAGAGCAGCAAGGGTTGGCTGGAGTCATGCACCATTAGCGATCTCAAATAGCACCGTGAGATCCTTGTGCATCAGCTATATTCTTTGCCCATCCGTGTCTTCTTGAAATCAATAGCCTCCTTCTCAGCTTGTCTCTATGTCTGTAGCCTGTTGTGCTCCAACAAGTCATCCCCAGCCTGTGGGGGACTGGCCATTCCTTACCTAAAAACTACTCTGTTTGGGCCAAGCCAGTGTGTGCACAGTCAAGTAATGACAAAGGCAATCGTCCTCTCACAGAACAGCCACAACCCGAGTAGTGTGGCTTCTTTGGAACCCTTGCCAAGCCTGGTCAGCCATGCCCTGCCTGAACGAACCTCACACGGCCCTCCCCTGCAGAGCCTGCTGGCTTCCGGTGACGTCACTTATCCTGCACCATCATCACTGTCATCCAAATCCAGAAAGCTCCACCTGCCCCCTTGCACTGTCAGTCGCTTCCCATTCCTGCCTTACTACGCGCCCCCAGCCCCCACGACCACCGCATCTGCAGTACGGTCATGCAGTGGGTGTGTTTGGATGACACAGGCTCCTGGCGTATCCTCATGTTTCTAAGGTGCGTAATCCCGCAGCACAGATCAGGATGCTGTCTTGTTTCATACTGTATTTTGTCCATTGATTGGTGATAGGAATTCAGGTTGAATCCACTTCCCATGATATTGCTGCTGCGGATACTCACGCACACCTGCCTGTGTGGACGTATGTCTGCATGTTTTAAAGTCTTGTTATACCCAGGACCATATAGTAATTCTACATTGCCTGGGGACAACTTGCCGGACTGACTTTTCCCAGCAGCTGCCTCAGTTTCCCAGCAGTCTCCAGGGTCCACTCTCTGCTTCCTGCTCCATGCTTGCTACCATCCATCTTTTTAATGACAGCCCTCATGCGGAAAGGCTCATGGTTTCTTGAGCTACATTATTCTCTACGTACAAACTCAGTCACGGCTTTAGGAGGCAGCCTTCCTTGCAGATCTGCAACCTTCCTTCCCCCTTCGGGGAAGAATCCCTTGGGAAGAGGCATGGGACCTCTGGCTGGGTCACTAAGGAGCTGCCCACACTTTGCTCCATGGTAAGGTGAGCTCCTCTGGCAGGTGTCTCATGCAGTCGTGAATAGAGGCAAGAATGGGAAAGATGTGCTTCCTGCAGGTTCCAAACTGAAGACCACGGCACGGACACATCTTATCTTGGCGCTGACAACTGTGATCTTCACAAAGGGCTGTATGCAGAGGCATCATGCACCGAGAACATTCCGCTCAGCTCTGAACTTGTCCTTGACATGACACTTCCTGGCAGGGAACTCTTGTCCTCATCTCTCATCTGTTTTATGCTCCAACTATCTCAGAGGGAGAAACTGCGTTCCAAGTAGCATGGCCTGCCTAGGGCCAGAGAGGCACGGGCACTGGCTTGGCAGGTGCAGGAGGTAATCATATGTGGTCACCTGCCACTTGCTGGGCCTCTAGGAAGCCAACGGTCAGTGGCCTGAGGATTCTGGAGTTAGAAGAGGGCTGTGTGACTCAGTTTCCCCATCACTCATTGGACATCACACGACTCCCCCACCCCCGTGGAAGGTTCCTTAGATGACTGAGCTGAAGCCTGGCTACCGATACTCAGCGTCCAGGGTTACTATCACAATGACTGCCGGTAGTTCACAAGGTGGCTCGTTTAGATTCTTGCTCCACAATCCAATGCTTATTTGAGACTCAGGCAAGCCAAGAAGATGGAGAGCCGCTTTTTCCCAGACAGCCACCCCAGGTCCAGACAGCTGATTGTTGGGAAACTTGTGAGTTATTCAGGAGTCTGGATACCTCAATGTGGCCTCCTTGGGGACAGTTGCCAAGTTCAACAAAAAAAAAAAATCCAGGACTTTCACACGTTCCCGGGGACACAGGGCCTAACCAAGTCATTCACTGCTTCTCCTAAATGAACATTTAGCTGGGAACGCTGCTTCTCTGGCTGCCTGTCAGCCCTCAAGGAGACACAGCAGGGAGACGTTCACTCACTTTTCCCAGGAACCAGGCAGAGCATCCCTGTTATCTCCCCAGTCCCCAGCCACCAAGTGGCCTTCCCTAAACTCTCACTTTCCATCAACCTGGACTAGCTGGTTAGGCATCTCTTTGGGTCCACAGGGGAAGCCTGCTGAGGCCAGAGTAAACCATTACCTGTCCACCTTCCTTGTTCTGCCTGTACGGATGCACCCTGCCTATAATATGTTAGCAGGCATATGGCACTACTGGCTCCTGATGGCCCAGTATTGCCCTGGAGCCAAGATACACCTGAACCCAGGCATGAGAGCAAATACTTTGGCCTGCAGTGTCTTCCACTGACACTCCGGGACACCCCAATAGAGTCCTGCCCCCCCCCCCCACCTGCTGGAGTGGCAGCCTCCCCCAGCAGGGAAGCTAGAACAGCTGCAGGAGGCCTGCCCACCTGTTTTCCTGGAACTGCTGGAGCTGGAGTGATGGCCGCTTGATTTCCGGGACTGCGGGACGGCCTTGGAGTTCGAGTCGGGGGACAACAGGCTCCCAGAGGAGTTTCGGCTTCCTTGGTCTGGAGGTGTCTGCGACGCGGGCTTCTGGGGGGCAGTGATGGGGCGAGGCTGCTGAGGGGCGGCCTCAGGGTGAGGCTGCTGAGCGACAGGGGCAGTCTCGGGGCGTAGGGGCTGCTGTGGCGGCTGCTGGGGTGGTGGCAGTGGCGGCGGTGACTGCTGCACGTTCTCCAGGCTGGGCTGCTGCGGGGTGGAGTTGGAGCTGCCATGCTGCGAGTTGGAGTCCCGTTGGCGTTTGGCCTCAGATCTTTTCTTCTTGACCTTCTTCATGGTGGGCCCTCCCAACCTGAATGTTGGGAGGGCTGCCTAACCCTGGCTCCCTCCGAGAGGGGCCGGTGGCCCTCTGCCCTTTGGGATGCGACTCTGGCCTCCGACTGGCCCCAGAGCCTGGCCCACACACAGCAGTCAACCTCACCTCCTGTGACGTCACAAAAGCCAGGGTGGCGCCTGGGGTGCTGCTCCAGGGGCAGACTTCTGCATGGACGCCAGGCAGGTGTCTCTCCTCTTTCCCTCCTGGGGGACAGCAGGTGCTGCCTGGGTGGGCCTGGCTGCAGGGAGGTGGGACGAGGACAGGGACAAGCGGATGTGGGGGGGATTCTGTGCCGTGTGTGCCCACCTGAAGACACCTCTCAACAGCTGTGGCCCTAGGCCAAGCGAGCTGTTTCACTCTAAGACACTTTGAATGTAATCCCCAGCTCCGTTGCCGGTTCCCGTATGCCCTCTCTCGGCCAAACAACAGCCTGAGCTCACCATGCATGCTGCAGGCCTGAAATTTCTCTCAAGATGAAACCTAGCATCACGCACAACCTCCTACCCTCTCAGAACTCCCCCAGTCCTCGGAAGCTCCCACCACACTGGATAGGAGCTGTGGGAGACAGAGAGAGTGGGGTCATCGAACTTGGATAAGAACCTCGCACTTGGCCAAGGATTTCCCCTAAAAGCATGGCAGCTGCTGAGAAGCGAAAGAATTCCGACTCATTCCAGGGGCGCGACAGACCAACAGCCTCCCAAACCCAGAACATGGCCGCGTGGGACATGAGTCTTCCTCTACATGAACAGCTGGGCCTTCGTGTTTTAGATGGCAGAGGGACAAGCACAAAAACGGCAATCTGCACTTCACACTCCACCTGCAACAAAAGATGCGTGTGCTTAGCAGCCTTCAAGCCATGGGACTGCGTCTGTGTGCAGGTGAGTCTGCGCCATTGGTGGCGGGGATGTGCCTACCGGTCCCAGGATGGGTTTAGAGTCGCAACCTAGCTACAGAGAACAGGTGAAAAGAATTTACCCCCCATGCAAGGCCAGACACAGTGTCTAAGACCAGGCAGAGGGTAGAAGGCATTGCCAGGGCTCAATTCCAAATTTAAGTCTCTTGCTTTTTGTGACCCCAGGGGGCATTGATGGGGCTTTTAAATGAAGGCATGAGAAAAATGCCTTGAATGAGAAGATTGCAGGCAACCTGGAAGTGAAGAGAAACTGCTAGATCAGCAGCGTTGGATTGGGTTCGGTTGACTTGGGCAGAAGCAGCACCAGGGAGCAGGGGTGTCTGTGAGATGTCAAAATCAAGAGCAGCAGATGGCTCCGAAGGATGAGAAGCCGGAAGCCCAGGCCAGGCACCCTACTGGGAACTAGAAGACAGGACAAGGCACCCCGGCATGGGGCTTTGGCCAAGGCCCTTCAATCTCATTTAAATTAGGGTATCCTAACATCTGTTGACATCTTGGGCTGGACAAGCAGTCCTAGTTACGGGAAGGGCCCCTGTGTGTTACGGAAGTCCATTTCTGGCCCCTCTTAGGATGCCTTCCCTACGATAGCCAAAATTGTCTCTAGAAAGGGTCCTCAGATCGCCCCTGGTTGAGAACTGCTGTTTTAAATGGATGGGATGGGGCAGATACATGTGGGGATAATTTTCCTGGCAGGCATGAAAGAAACAGAACAGAGCTGGGGGAGACAGAAGGGGGCAGGCTTGGGCAGTAAGGAGTTCTCCCAGGAGTGCAGAGGAAATATATGGGGGGGGGGGGGAAGGGGGAGAGCCTGAATCAGGATGGCCACAGGAGCAGGTGAGGGAGGGCTCCTGTGGGCTGAGAGGTGGTTCCAGAAAGGCACGGAACAATAGCATTGCTGCAACAATTCTGCATGGCCACAAGTTCCAAAGCCTCTATCCCATGGGCACAGCCTATTGTCCAGGCTTACCTGCCACCACGCTGCTACCTATGTTCAGCTCTAGCCAGCCATGGGCATTGAGATCTTGGGACCATGCCTAGCTCCCCCTTCTTGGTGGAAGCCCTACCCCTCTGTCATGCCCCTCCCCCACCATAGTGAGTTGATGTTCCAAGGGCAAGATGCATCTCCTCCCTCTGCTGTCTGTCCCTTTGAGAGCCCCTGGTGCCTTGAGTAGGACATCTTTGTATCTGGTCTCCTCTCTTGTGTTTCCAGCCCCTCAGCTGTGACACTTGTAAGGACCACCGTCTCCATGCATGCCGTGAACACTAAACACTGCAGACAGGGGACAGAGAGCAGGGACTGGGTGGCCAGATGGAGGGGTTGGGTGATGGGGGACTTCTGAGGACATCATTGCTAAGGTGCTGGGGATTCTCTGGCCTTGACCGCTGAGAATCAGGACGGGAGCAGGCCCTAGGTAGCTGGGTCTTGTGCCAGTTGCACAAAACCATCCCAGAGTGAAGTTCAGGGGATGGAGATGATGGTAAAAGCACAAGGTGCCCAAGGGGTTAAAATGGACGCTGGTGGCATGGTCCTTGGACGTGATCTTTTCCCCAAGAACACATCCTGACACCCCCTTACCCTTCAGTCTCCCATGTCCAGGGAGATCACCTGCTCTCCGCCAGCTGCAGGGGGCGGCACCCAGAGAACTCCCTCAGCTGCTGCTGCTGCAGCCTCTGCGGCTGTGGCCTGTGGGGCTGTGTTTCTGCCCATGGACCAGGTGCTGGTGCTCATTCAAGATTCCTCTCTGCCCAGGACCATGAGACTCCAGCCTCATCATTGCAGGTGGCCTTAGCTAGGCAGAATCCCCAGTACTTTCAGCAAGGATTGGGCTGCAGCCCTGAGCCCTGAACAAAGGAGGAGCCACTCAGATTGTAGTTGTGAGTGGGAGAGCCAGGAGCCCCAGCACACTATCTGGCTTGTGGAAGCCACTTTTCAATCGTAGTTGTTACTCCCTGGGGGAAGGAGCCTAAGGGAGCAAGCGGTGGGAGTGGGGTGGGAGGAGAATGTTCCTGTTCTCAGGAACTCGATGTCCCCACGATGGGTCGGGCACGTGGGTGGCTGGGTGGATGCAGCCCTGGGAATTCAGTTAATTTGAGCACCTGTGACGTTGAGGTGGCTCCAGTTGGCATTCCCCGGGGTAAGAACTCCAGTACATCTCCACCAAAAACGCGAAATCTAAAGCTTCCAGAGGTGCCAGGACAGGGGTGCGACTAAGAGGCTCTGCCCACTTGTGGGTGTGGAAGGGGCAGCAGGGGTTACTCTGTATTTGGGGAGGGGAGTGCGTTCTCAGCTCCCTCCTTCGGACCCCTCACCGTCTGTCTGAGTTGCGCGCTCCACCAGGCGGCCCGCGTGCGCTGGACTGATGGCGCGCCGGACGTCCAGGGCGCCCTCGGGGCGGCTGGGGCAGAACACGGCCGTGTGCACCTCCACCGGGACGGCGCCCTGCTGCGCGAAGACGCTGCAGAGCAGGCTCTCCAGGCGGCGGCGCGCCTCGGCCTCCTCGTCGGGCTGCGGCTGCACCAGGACGCCGACAAGTGCAGCGGGCGGCCGGCGGTCCCGGGAGCGCACCTGCCGCAGGAGCAGCTGCAGGCGCGGCAGCTGCGTGCTCAGCGTGGACGCGCGACACATCAACAGCAGCAGCTGCTCGCCGCGCTCGGGCAGCGGGGTGCAGCCTTGTGCCAGCGCGCCCGCAGCCGCTGTCGACTGTGGCACAGCCGGTGTCTCCAGCCAAGCCTCAGACGCCTCGCGCGCGCTCGGTGCCGCCCCCGCCTTGCGCCCGGCGCTGCACGGCTTCTCGCTGCAGCGAGGGGACTTGGCGGCTGGGCAGTCCGAGCTGTGGCTCGAGTCGTTGTCGGCGCAGCGCTTGGGTCTCCGCCGCCGGGTGTCCTTGCTGGAACTGCTGTGGCAGCTCATGGTTCTGGCACACGAGGCACTGGCAGGCTGGTTGGGCGGGGCCTGCTCCAGAAAGTTCTCTAAGCTGGTGGAGCTGTCGTCGTCGTGCTTCCAGAACTCTCTGATGAGCAGCACCCGGCCGCGGCCCTGGATGGACTGGACCGGATCCTGCGGCGCATCTTCGGCCTTGTCCTCCCGTGGGGCCCTGGTGGACTGGGCCCCCGGGCACGGCTCCATGCCAGGTCCGGCTCCCTTGCCCCAGTGGGCGCGGGCCTGTGTTAGCCCAGGGGTACGCTGCCCTCCCCCTTCGGAGCATGTCACAATAGCCCCGCGTCCTAACCTTGCCGGCCGGGGCCTCTACTCGGCCATTCCTTGAGACTCTCCAACTCAGGCCAAGCTTTTCTGCTTATCAACGCCCTCCCCCCCGCCCCCCCCCTTTGATCGCGCCATAGTGCGTTCACGTGCGTGGTTTTAGAAGCCTCTCAGTTAGATGAAAGATCGATCTTTATGAGCGAGGTATTTGTGCACACAGTATACTTAAAAAACACAGGCTGGGAAGGGGGTTAGGCCTCATCTCATGTGGGAGCATTTGGCTTGAGTCGCAGTTACTCCGTGTGCTGCTCACACAGCTTGCTGCTAATACCTACCCTGGGAGGTTGCAGGGGGGTATCCCAAGTGCTTGGGTCCCAGCATCCTTGTGGGAGACTCGGATGGAGTTCCTGGCTCCAGGGTTTTGCCTGGCCTGGTCTTGGCTGTTGCTGGAATTGGGGAGTGAGCCAGTGGATGGAACATTTCTCTCTCTGTGTCCCTCTGAATTTCAAATAACACCTTCAGTGTAAAGCCACCAATTCTGACCGCAGCATCCTGTATGGATATCAGTTTGTGTCCCAGCTACTCCGCTTCAGATCCAGCCTCCTGCTTAAGGCCTGGGAAAGCAGTGGAGAATGGTAGATCTTGCCCAGGCTCAGCCCCGCTCATCTCTGGAGAGGACTTGGCAGCCAGAGCCCTGGGAACTTTAAACCAATGGGAAGTGGTTTTGGGTCGGCTTACTTCCTGTCTTCTGTGGATACTGGAGAGGCCCTCCAAGAAGACAAAGCCTGAGATGGAGACAGCTGTGGAGGTCAGGAACCAGCTGGGGAAAGATGGGTGCTTTTTTAATGTTGTTAAAGAGATGCACTGAGGCTTGCCGTGGTGTTGTAAGCTGGGCCTTTGCCTGTAGTGC